AAACAAAATCATTCGAGCGGTTTTCGAGCATTTTGGTAATGAAAAAAATTTGCAAATTTTTTCAACAATTTCTTGCCTTAAAATGCTCAATATTTGTTAAATTTATATAAAATTTGTACCCGATAATATTTCTACTGCTCCAAAGAACCTATATCCCGAAAATGAAAGTTATATATGCCAACAATAAGTTGCTAGAGCACTTTAAAGGCTCAAAATTGACCCCAAAATAAGGCAATGTTTACCGTTGTTTTTACGACAGAAACCGAATTGGTTATTTACAAAAATGAATCTGTCGACAGGTTTGGAATTTTATCTTTGAAACGCCACACTTTTCTTTGAAATCGCTTTATTAGTTCTCGTGCAATAAGCGTTTTTGTGAAGCTCTAAAAATTACAACTACAACATTTGAACATAGCCCCCATACCTTAAGGTAAGACGTATTCTACGTCAAAATTATCGCAAAAATGTATGGACGCAATATACATATGTATATTATAAATTTTTTGAGGGAATTAGTATTATTATATTTATAGTTTCGGCAAATTCAAGTTAGATTCGTTTCCATAAAAAAAGCGTAAAAAATAATTATAAAAACCTGTTTGTTAAAACTGTAGTTTTATATATTTGCTGGGCGTCGCACAGTGAGCCACCGGCTAGCCGTAAAAAAATATTTTATTGGTTCTGATGCTTGGATTTGTCGTAAAAAGTGGCCATAAAGAAATTCACCTTGATCGGGGATCGATTGGGTGGCCCCAGAGGTCCCTCGAGCAGGGCTTGTAGCAAAACCGGCATATTGAAGTTATTTATACTAGTGTTCGCCCAGCGGTTGAAATTCTACCGATAAAATTAAGGATAGTTTATGTAAGTTGAATGAGCTAAAATAACATTAGTTGGAATGGGTTAAGTGGAGGGGAGTTTAACTTAGTACTTGGCATAACATAACATAACCATAACATAAGAATAAATAACATAACATATGAAGCATAACACACCACAATATAACATCGCACACTCTTCAGTTGTATTTCCTTTTTATCCCTTTTTTCACCTCTATCTAAATCTTATTTATTTTGGTTCATTTTATGCCAAATGATGTTGCCTTTGATGCCACATCAAGTGATATCATGTCATGTGGTGAAACTGGGTGTGGTGAGCTGCGGTGTGGTGGAATTGGGTGTAGGAGTTACGGTGTG